CCCTCTTCATCTCTATCACTCTCACCCATTCCCCCATCTCCATCTCATTCCATCTCTCATGTCCATTCACCCCTCTTCATCTCACTCCATCTCTCTCTAACCCATTCACCCCTCTTCATCTCCATCACTCTCATCCATTCCCCCATCTCTATCACACTCCATCTCTCATGTTCATTCATCCCTCTTCATCTCCATTCCTCTCCCTCATTCCCCCATCTCCTTTTCACTCCATCTCTCATGTCCATTCACCCCTCTCCATCTCACTCCATCTCTCATGTGCATCCACCCCCTCCATCTCACTCCATCTCTTTCTAACCCATTCACCCTTCTTCATCTCACTCCATCTCTCACCCATTCACACCTTTTCATCTCATTCTATGTCTCATGCCCTGGGCTGAGCTACCATCATTTCTTGCCTTGGTCACTGTACTGGCCTTAGAGAATAGTCTTCCCTCATACTCTCTTTCCCTATATGTCTGTTGGCATCCTGATGACTGGGTTATATTTTCGTAATTAAATTTGATTTTGTTACCTTCTCTGCTTAGATTCTTTCAGTGGTTTCTGTGAGTCACAGGAGAAGATGAAAATCTTTAAAGCGGCCTGGAAGCCCTGACTGGGCTCCTGGGCTGGCCTTTCCCCATTCCTGAACCCAGGGAGGCCCTGTACTATAGGACGTTCCTTCTGTGACTCTGACCCTCTTACCTCTGGCTCTGCATTCTATCTCTGCTCCTCAGTCCCTACCCCTGTATCTTTGTGTCCTGAATAGGGGTGACTAGTTACTGACTCGTGAGCCATCAGGTGAGGAGCAAGTCTGTGGATTCATGACTGAAGGGTGCTGGGTAAGTGAGTCACTCTGAATCCCACCTCACTGCTTCTCTGTGCAGTCTATTGCAGAATCAACCCAGCCTTGTTCTGACTGCCCCAGCCTGGGAGCTGCATCCAGAAGCTTCAAGCTGGCTTAAAGTTAAGCCCTTCAGCCGCTTGTAGCTCCAGTGTGCTCATCACAGGGAGTGTGTAATCTAAATGACCCCTGTGGAAGACACTTCGGAAATTGGGAAATGCTGACCCAATATGTCACTATTTCAGAATACATAGAGGAAAGATCCTTAGTGATGTTGGAAATGTTTAAAAACATACTGGGTAATGTTTATCAAGCATATGATATGTACCAGACACATATATTCATACTTAGCCTATAAAACTATGTGAGCTAAATGCTGTTATTTTCCCAAGTTCACATAGTGAGTGATAATTACTAGCCAGCACTGTCTCTCCCAGAAGGAGCAGGAACAAATTTCAAAACAGAATCTTTATCCACTTTTCTACAGTAGCAGAGCCTCTGTCTCCCATTATTGGGAGAATTTAAGAACTGACTATAGTCAGTTATACAGAGGAGATTGGTTTTGTTCAGTTGTTGGCCTCTTCTAGGTGATTTACTTAAAGCCAGGGTGAATTTGAAACTGAGATGATACTCAAACTCACTTTAAGAAGTTCATTTTCTTTTTCCTTGTCCGAGAACTCCTTCCCTTGCCTGAGAATCTCTAGATCTTGTCACCTATGTTCAGTGACTGGACCCCCTTGTCAATCATCTTAGAGAAAAAAATCCCCCTAGCTGTTATAACCATCCTTTGTTTACCAATTAAAGCAGCTAAAAGCACTAAAATGCTTCTGTCACACAAAAGGCTCTTCCCACGCTTCTCGAGTAGAGCTGACCTCTGAGCTCTTTGCCCTGTTGTTCCCTAGCCTGATGGCAGCATCTTGGACAAATTACCTGCTTTTCCTTTTTCTCCTTATGGAAAGCTTGCACTGCCCAGGCAGAGCGTCAACAGTCTGTCCAGCAGGGCCACCTGTGCAGGGAAACGGCCTGCCCCCCCTGACCCACCCCTTATCATTTCAGACCAGTGGCCTCTCCCAGGTCCACACTTAGACTGAAGCAGTCACAGGTAGGAGGTGGAGTCTCAGATGGAAGACGTAAGAAATAGATTGGGCCAGATGAAAGGGGGCAGTTTTGAGAACTTAATGGAAAAGCAAAACAGATGTAACTGAACCTGCCTAAAGTTCTTCCAGGTGTGACATCGTAATGGAGGAAGGCTCTACACGTTCACAGAGTAGACTGAGTGCAGAGGAATATGGCTAACCTGCACATGGACACAGTCACACATCACCACCTGTGACTTCTGGAGGAGGCACTGGCTAAATAAGCTGGCTGCTTCCTTTGTTCATTTGTATGAAAAAATACTGATTTGCAATCTGTGTGCCCTTTGAACAGCATCCTGGTGGAGAAGAGGTCTTAAGAGAACAAGCTGGGGGTGATGCTACGGAGAACTTCGAGGATGTCGGGCACTCTACTGATGCTAGAGAACTGTCCAAGACATATATCATCGGGGAGCTCCATCCAGTAAGGCCTTTTTTTAGGGGAAGGGGAGTTTTTCTCAATCCTTTTTAAGGCTACTGATTGACCTTACCTGAGTTTAGATTTGAATCTGCACAGAACTTAGAAAGGAATAAAGCAAAAACAAATCCTCCTGATTTTAGAACACCATTTTTGGCATCAGTAAATCGATCTTAAAGTCTTTGCATTTCATGATTGTGTTTTTCATGGACACTTAGAGTCCGAATGCCCTGGCCGAGGCCCTGTTCTAGGGAGCAATTCTCAGTCTTTGAAAGTCCATGGAGCAGTAAATTTTAAAAGGTGGAGGTATCGACCCAGTATGACATTTTTTGTTTCTTTTTTTTTTTTCCCACCAAAATATTTTTCTTAAGAACCTCCCTTCTACTTTCATTAGTCTGAGAATATTTTAATTCTAAACATAGTTCTGAAATTGTGTTCTGTTAAATGAATAAGCTATGCCTCATGTGAAACTAGCATATTATCCTCCTCACTTTACCCAAGACTTTTGGGAGTGTTGGCTTTGGTTCTAGTCCATTGGCTGGCTTTTGGAAAAAAACTGGCTGCTTTTGCATTTTATATAAACTCGGGGCTATCATATGAACTTAGGCCCTTCTGTGGCAGTTTTAAATGACTTTGTGGAATTTTTCTTGTCTATCACCTAAGTGACACCTAAATTGTGGGAATGTAACTGAAAACTTGGGAGGATGTCTCTGAGTTCTCTGGGTTTCAGAGTAGACAGGGGGACTCAGGCTCTGCCCCTTGAGAGACAGGGGGACTCAGGCTCTGGCCCCTTCCTGCTTCCCTGGCTCTGGTGTGTTACAAGTAGCCAGCCAGGGGCGGAAGAGCTGCCAGGAGCCGGCTCTTACTAAAGAGAAACAAATATCTTCCAGTTCTTTTTAAGTGAGCAAACTGAGGAACTATTTTTTAATAAAATATGAAAAGTTTTATTTCATGTAAACTGTGCTTCCTGTAATGACTGACCGAGGGAAACGTTAAAGAGGCGCTTTGTCGAAGGCCTGGGAATAGGAAATCCTTTAGGGCAACTTCCACTGTGTGGGGAAGATTTTGTTGTTTCTGGTGGTAGGACATATGCAGTGAGGGAGTTGGCTTCATTATCTGGGGGGTTTATTTGCCCATGTTTTCATCGTCGTGTGTCCCATAAGTGAATTAGTGGTAATTGGTGAGGTCTGTCCTTAAACATGGCCCAGCCTATCCTTATTCTGTGCAGTCCTGTGCCACAGGGTTTGGAGGGCAGGTTTCAGGCCTGGGCTCTGGTGCTTCTGCTTCACTAGCCTGCAGGGCTTCCCTGGCTCAGCCTTTGCACACCCTGGGTTTTTGACAGCCTCAACTGAGGTTTAAATAGTTTATGACCCTACAATCAGGAGATCGCAGGGAATCATGGAGGACATTACATGACTAAGGGATAGATATGCATCTCCAAGGGAATTCAAGAGGAAAGGAGAAGAGTTGTATTTTTAGCTGCTCCCTGAGTTAAAGATCTCAGTCCAAGTCTAATAAATGAACACACGGTTGACAGAGTAATGGAACTGTCATAGTGCCATTCTGAACTGTGAAACTCCAGATAGAAAATACCTTTTGGCACTGAATCTGCTGTTCCTTTTTGCTGTTAAGCCTGATTTATCAAACTTTGTGTTTAACAGCTGAATAGTAAACTCAAATTGCTAGTTACTAAATAATGTTTTAAAAAATCTCATTAAAAGTGAGCACTTTTTGTAGGTAGTTTATTATTTTTCAGTGTTCCTTATTTTTTCACTTAATTTTAATTTTTTTCTTTTTTTCTTTCTTTTTTTTTTTTTTTTTTTTCAGGATGACAGATCTAAGTTAGCCAAGCCTTCGGTAAGTGTGGCCTTCTCAAATGTATCAAAGGATGGTGGAATCTTCATTATATTTAAAATCTGTCAAACAAAGGTCTTTTACCTCTCTGAGACCTGAAAAGGTTTGTGTACTTTAGATTAGTATGGATCAGTTGGTGTTTTCTGAGGACAGCTGTGTGTTTATTTTATATAACTCTCAATATTTGAGCTATTCATTGTAATTATCAATAAATATCTTTGAGGACTGGTGGTACAGCTCAGTGGTAGAGTGCTTGCCTAGCATGCAGGAGGCACTTGGTTTAAACTTCAGCACTGCAAAAACTAACTAACTAAATAAATAGATTTTAAAACTATGAAAAGCTATTAGCACTTCTTAACTAGAAGATTTGACAGAAGCCTTTCTTTCAGAGAAGGTAAAATGTGATTGAGTGGAGGCCTTTCCACCTAGATCCTTGAGGCCACTGCCCTTGTCTCCTTCTCGGCATCTCCTGGGTGTACTGAGTGTGCGGTATGCGCTCATTTACACTCTGATTTCTAGCTCTCGCCTCTGAGCTGACCACCTCTTCTGTATTTGAAAATAACCCTGGGGTAAGAATTGATGGGAATAGCAGAAGATCCTGAGAAGTGCATGCAGGCAGAGTGGTTGCCAGCCTGTGATTAAAGAACTGAGGAGGAAAATCTGCTTCAAATGATGGGAAAGTATGATTTTTCCATTTTGGTATACTGTTGGTTTTCTGTAGAGAGCACAAACAAGACTCCACTAAGCTTGTACCCAAAACTGGTGAACTCACAGCCTAGCTGTAGCCACAGAACTTTGTCTTTAATTTATAACACAAAGTTATCAATTCAGTAGCGTAAGTGTAAAGGCCATCTTCACCTCAACACTCAGTACAATGAAAGCCTTGGGTAGTGCTGTTTGGTACAATGAAATTTCATTTATATTTTCTTTTTTCCCTCTTCAAAAAATTTTTAAGTTCCATGTTGGTGATATGAGTACTCCAGAAAGATTCAAAATAGACTTCTAACTTTAAATGGCATTTGCAACAGTTGCATAGAACCCTTGATTTTCCTGCCTGGTGTTCAGGGTGTTAATAACCTTGAAGCAAAGTCATTCAGCTGCAGGAAACAAGGGTGTGAGGAGCCTCACCACTCTATGGTTTCCAGATCTGACTCCCGTCTTAAGCACAGGAACTTTTAAAACTATATACAGTTACTCTCTTCAGAGACTTTATAGGTATATCAACTTTTGAGTTTTTTTTTTTAAGCCTCTCTATGGAGTTTTTGCTTAAATTAGAACATAGCTGAAGGAGGGTATGGCAAGAACTTGCTGGCTGTCTGAGAGGCAGATGAAATATGATCACTTTTTCTAGATCTGTCTTCCTTGTGCTTTCAGTTTACCAGAAGAAAAGAGGGACCTTAGATGATTTTTACTTATGTATCTGAGTTGCCATCTGTCTATAGTCTGGAAAATGTCCTCTGTGGTCTGATCTTAAAATGTTACCTGCTTGGGCTGGGAATGTAGCATGGTGGTGGAATGGTGTCCTGGCACACACACGGTCCTGGGTATGATCCTTAACACCACATAAAAGAGAAAAAAAGAACCACGTTGCTTCTTAAAATGTCTAGTTGAGTTTTGAAGTGAGATGTACCAAGACATACCAAAGATTATTAGCTTAAATCTGCCCAAGGGAAAGCTTGATATCAGATTGCCAAGTTTAAGATATTTGTAGACAGGGAAATTACACATTTTTAATTAAATCTATCAACTTTGCTTATGGAGAAAGTACCCTTTATTAGTTATAATTTTCAAACCATTGTGATATGAATTTCTCTGTGGCTCTTACAGTGTCCCTGTAAGATCCTCAGACTTGGCAAGGGTGATAAAGACAATGAAGTTTGTCTTGCTCAAAGTCAGATCCAGAATGGAGTCTAGCACACACCCAAGGCTTGTCACCTGAAGTCTCTTAACCCATGAAGTCCCAAGTTTGCAATTCTACAACTATTTCAGGGAGAGAAGGTGCATTAAAATAGGTTGGAAATAATAATTTAGAGCTCATCTGCAGTATTATAATTATACTCTCATTATTATGTAAATCTAATATATACTATATTTAAGCTTTAATCTGGGACGATGGGACACAATGGCTTAAGCTTCTGAAGGCTCTGGGCTTCACATGAAGCATCACTCTCAGTATTTTCAGGGAGAAAGTCTGCCATAGAAAGACTAATGACGGAGCTAAGCTAGATGAACTTATACATGAGATGACACTGACTTAGCAAAGATTTGTTGGGCTTTGCATGTTTATATATGGAGCTTGTCATAACATTGATTTACATAAGTCATTATACATGACTTAACCAGTTTAGTTGTTAACCTGTATTAACTCCAGGAGTAAACAGGTGGGGAGCTTTCATAAAGGCTAAAATCTTCTCTCCCTGTTCATCGTGGATGGATCTGATAGCTTCATCTCCAAACTCAACTGAGGCACCACAGAGCAGTGGTCACTAAAGCAACTTGCTTTTCATCCAGGTGCTAAGTGGTACTTCGAGCTTGCTTTAATTCTCAAGCATCCTGGGTTATAGGGCTAAGATAATAAGAAAGAAGCTACATGATTTTCTTTAGGTTCTGCTCCTTATAGAATTGTTGTTGCTCTTTGTGGTGATGTGCTAGCTGTGTTTTAACATAGCAGCGTTCTAACTTTATAGCAGTGTTATCACATTAGTTTTTATGGCAACCAAGAAGGGAAGGGAGAGGTTATACAGAGCTTTCAGCAAGTTTGGTAAAACGTACATACTTGTGCCTCGTGTGACGTGGTGTGTGTTGATGTTTGCCCTCTGTTTGATGTTTATGCTTGACTTTTCAGTGTAATAGTACTGTTTGACCTTTAGTGAGCTTGTTGGTTTCAGAACTGAGTGTGTGTTTTTTTTTAACTGTAGTAACATTACTTGCATATTTTTAGTATGTTTGCAAATTTTATTTGCATAAACAAAATTTTAAAAATCTTGTAATAGTTATGAATACTTCTTAAGGACACTGAGATTTAAAATTGCTTAAATAGATAATAAACATAAAGTTTTACTTTTAAATGACTAATTTTTTCCCCACTGTGTCAGGAATCTTAAAGGCGATGTTTCAAGGTTGGTCGGTTTCATAGCTGCATTGCTTGCACTTTCCTGAGGGGCTTCTGCCTTTTCCTGGAATCTCCAGGTGCTTTGCAGAGTGTAGCTGTGCTCCCTGCAGACCGCTGACTGCTTCACTAATGCTTATACCTGTGCTGCTGGGAACCGCAGGCAGGACCTGATGAAGCTGCCTCCTTCATGGCCACTTTTGTTGGAAGCACTAATTCTTTTGCTGGTGTGGAATATTAAAAATGCTTCTTAACATGACCTTGAGCCCAGAGAAGTTCATGTTTTACCAAGCCTTAGTTTTTCAGCTGTTTGGAGAACTTAGCATTTTTCCAGAGACGTCAGCTCACTTTATGGTACTCAGAGAGGAGCTGCTCTGAAAGGCACTGGAAGATAAAACAGGGCAGAGCAGTCCCTGAGGCCCCTCAGGAATCTTGCTGATACTGTCTGGTCAGAGTCAAAGCAGGCTGGGAAAACGTGGTAGAATGTTAGAACTTGAACTGATAGCTCTTATTTTTTCTTTTTGGTTGACATATATTTAATTTAAATTAGATACACATTAATATCCTGCAAGATTTGAACAAAATAATTTGTTTTTACTAGTACTTATTGTTTTTGAAGAGCTGAACTGCCCCTCGTAAAGATGCCAGTGGGGTTGTGTGTGTGTTTCCGTGTCTCTGTTTTTAGTTTCTATGTCAAAGCTTTTAGGTGCCTATTGTGTGCAGGATGTTTTTAAAAATCAGTGTTAGTATTTGACGTTTTTAAATTATCTAGATTATATTCTTAGATAATTTAAATACGTAATTCTTAAACTTTTGTGTTCTGGGGAAATTGATGAAGCTAGGATTTTAGTGAAAAGAGATTTATAATATAATTTTCCTTTTCAACATTTTTTTAAAATGACATTGAATAAAGTACTCTGGTCATATTTTAAAACAGATGTTCAGTTAATGGAATAAATGCTTGGACACTGCTTTAACTTTTTCTCTTGTGTTCCAGGAATCTCTTATTACTACTGTTGAGTCCAATTCCAGGTATGTGGTGGTTTTCTTCTACAGTGGTGGTGGGTGGAGGGCTCCTGAGTCAGAGGTGGACAGGGCTTCTCCCCGATAACTTGTGTACTTGACTTCCCATGGCTTCCTCAGTGATCATCCTGGGGCCGACAGGCTCTGCTCTGTGGGGCTTGCCATTCTGAACTGTCAGCTGCAGCGGTGGCACACACTCTCCACAGCGACCCCAGGTCTTGCCCCTGTGACAGCCCTTCTAGTAACCAGTCCCATGGCTGCTCCACCAGACGGAGGCCCTTGTCCTCCCTCTTGGCCCATGCTCAGCTTCAGTTGTGGTGCCTATTTCCCTGGGCATGATTCCTTCCTTTGTCATTAGTAGACCCTGAAGCTGAACCAGTAATCTGAGTGTCACATTACTGGCTTTCAAGACCAGATTTCTTTATTAACATTTCTGGCAGCTCTACCTTATTGACTTATATTATGGCTCCCAGCCCCTTTTTGACCAAGCTCAAAACAACATATTTGTATTTGGCCCTGTCAAATTTAACTGCCCCATCTCTGGTGTTCTGCAATATTCCCATTCCCACTGCCAGTGCTTCACCTGCTCTTCACCGATGTGTGGCTTCCTCCTGAAGGGAACTGAAAAGCCTCATTGAGACCAAGGTTGCACTTGTTCCTTTCGTACTTCAACTCTTTATACCGAGCTTGAGCTTTGAGTGAGCTAATTAATTTAAAGGTTCATGTCTAAATTGAAGCTCTTTCCATTCTGTTGTTGATTTGACCCATCATCTGTAATTGACAGTCAATCCAGACTATATGCTTCAAACTGAATAATATGTAGGTCATGCATTTTTGTGAATTTAAGCCTGTAGATCACTGACTCAGAGCTCTGTATGTGCAGTTCTTCAAGTTTAAATCCACCAAGCACAGGTGTCAAGATTAGGTTTTAAAAACAGAATCTCAGAGTGCTGAAACTGAGGTGAAGGTAGCAACCGGAGCACTCCTGTGGCCCGGAGGCCTTCACTGGGCAGCTCAGGATACCTGACCTGCCCTTGGCTTCGAGCTGGCTGACGGCCCACCCCTCTGTGAACCTTGGCCTTCTGATTCTCCACTTCGTCTCATTTGAAATTCTTAATTAATGTATGTGAGTAGAATAAAACATGTCAGGAATATTCACTTTTATTACCTTATAATTCATAACCTGTAGTCCATGCCCACAAGAAAATTTCCTATGCCTGGGAGAGTCTCTCTGTATAAAGTTTGTGGAAATAGATTAAAGCTAGCAGGATAAAGCAATTGCCAGTGTTCTCAGGTACTCATTGACTGTGCTCACTTCAATTCTAGCAAAGCTAAGGTGCCTTTTTAGCTAAATTGGTTATAGAGGTGAGAAAAGGCCCACAGTAACCTTTTATTATAAGGAGCAAGGATTTGAGTTCCTGCACTGAACACCTCCTGCATCTTTCTAGTTGGTGGACCAACTGGGTGATCCCAGCCATCTCAGCCCTGGCTGTGGCCCTGATGTATCACCTCTACATGGCAGAGGATTGAATGACTCGGAAGCCGTAGAAGGAAAAGGCTGCTTTGGAAAAAGGAGAAAAGAAGCCACTGTTAATTACTTCGACTGACAGAAACCTTAGCCTGAAAAAATAATTTTAATATGTTCCTCTTCTTCCTACACTAGAAACAAAATGAAAAGAACTGTTCTTTCTACTCTTAAACTTTTCAAATGTGCCTTTTTATTCATCAGCTTTGTTTTGATGTTTTCTCACTGTGTAATTTGCTTATTGTAAGCATGATCTTATAAAAATATATCTGGCTTTTAAAATATACCACCATGTTGCCTGTCTGTTCAGTGTAGGCTTTTCTTCAGTGGTTAAGATCTCTGGTCATGGAGGTCCAGCTCATATGTGACTTGAGGCGAGGGCACAGCCCTTGGAGCGTCCTCGACATTGTTGAGCAGTTCATATGCAGTCACCCCCTATTTCCAAAGCCATTTCTTTTTCAAGGATATTAATAAAGGCTCAGAAATTTTAGCTCAAGAATTTATAATAATTGTTTTGCTTAAAACACATGAAAAAAAGAGAAAGTAGTCTCCAGGATATAAGAGAGACTGCCTGTCTTCTTTGATAGAAAAATGCCAGCAGCATAACAAGGACCCACGGCCTGTGAGAGCCCAGCAGCTGCTCATTCTATCACTTTAAAAACATCACCCCAAAGAGGCTCCCAGCATTATCCTTTCCCAAGTTCTGAGAGTCCTCCTTCAGAGGTGAAAGCAGTTTATTTCCTCGCTTGAGGAGGTGCTAATTACCTGACTTGTCAAAACAGTTGGAGGAGATTAGGGACATTTTATCTAATTTTGAAGCAGCTGTAGGTGATGGGCCATGAGGAACCCTGGTTGGCTTACTTCCTTTTTAGAGCTCTGGATTGACTGGGTCATCTCCTTTTCCATTTGTGGTTCTCTGCCTCATGTATTATTGTTATGCTATTTCCTTTAAAAAATAGAACCCCAAAGGAGTAATTTTCTTGATCACTAGTAAGTTTGTAACAAGATGTGATCTATCCTGCACATTTCTGCTAGCCTGTTAGGGGACTGGACAGTGGTGACATTCTTCAGAAATAGCTAAATACATTGAAATTTTATTATAATAGAGTATGGGTTTTTATAATCAATGGCATGCATTACCCTTTGCCTTTTGTGTCACTGAAGAAGTGAAAGTTGGGCGAGGGATGTGGAAAGGTGGCTGTATCGAAAGGGAAACATCTTTCAGGAGAAAGCATCTCATAGAGATGGGATTTCATGTTCAGATTTTAATAAACATATCTCTAACAAAATCATGGACTTGGGGGCATTCTTTGACACCAGCACCTCTGAACTTTGACATTTGGCAGGTATTAAGTCAGTAAGCTCTGGTGTGCATGGGCTGTGAGGCCTGTTAGTCACAGTAGGGCAGCAGTCAATGAAAAATGCCTGTGACGACAGACTGGATAAGCTTCAATGCAGTGTGGCTGTCCATGCAAAATTCCTCGTTTTGTCCTCTCAGACATGTCCTTTCAGCATCATTAGGAAAGGGTTGTCTGGGAGGTGAGTGGGACACCACAGGCCTGGAGGTCATCAATGGGTGCTTCTTACCAGTGCTTTCTGTAGTCCACACTTCCAGGACCCCCTAGGAAGGCAGAGGGTATCTAGTGTAATACCATGCTGGGGAGATGAAACTCTGAGGTGCTTGAAGATTTCTCTTGAGTGATTATTTTCAAGTTTTATAATTATTCCTGGTGAGCGTTTTGTTGTCGATGGTTTTCCCTTAATTTTTATCTGGAAGAGTTTGGTTGTGAACTTGGTTTAGTTTGCTAAAGTTTATCCTCAAGAACTTACTAATGTTAGAGATTATACAAGTACGTTTTACTCTAAATGTCTTGTATTATCACTCTTGTGTTCATGAATGGTTAGGTGAATGTAACGTGCTCTAATGACAATGTGTGTGGTCATTGGGTTTATATGTGCCATTACTATCACTTTCATTAGCTGACAATTTCGAGTCCTGTCTGGAAGTCACGCCCTGTCTCAGGTGGTCCTGTCATCTGTCCTCATAATCCCTGCAGAATTCTTGGGGTGCAATAGCAGAGCGGGGAGGAGTTTCAATTTAGGCTTATAAGACTCATTTACCTCTATTAAAAAAAAAACAAGGGAGGCTTGTGTGCTCATTACTGACTCGAGCCCTGGGGCCAGGGGCCAGGTGCTGGCTGTGATGCAGGGACACAGAATGCAGGCCTTCGGGAATCCTGATATCAGAAGCTGCCTTTGCACAGTAGTTGTGGGAGTAGGTAAAGGCAGTGGTGAACCAGGTCATAAGATGCCGTGGCATATCCAAGAGAAGCTGCTTGCCTCTTGGACTCTGGACAGGCTGAGGAGATGGGGAAGGGCCTGTCCTGCACGGGGTGACACTGCTCTGTGCAGTCACCCCATTTCCTCTGCCCTCAACGTGTACCTCCAGGTGTACTGCCCAGAATAAAGCACACTGTAGGATAAAGGGCTGGAATTGATGACCCCATGTGTATTTCAAAGTAAACCACAACACTTGGTAAAGGACCTCTGCAGATATTTAAGTTTTTTAGGTTGTGGGTTCTAGCTTTAAATCTTCAAATTTTAGTACTTTTTAAGCCCTTGCTCCTAAATTGGCTGTGAAGTGAATTGAAGTGAGTGTAACGTACCCTCTGTGGAAAGGATCAGTTTGTAAGTAATTTTTAACTTCTGTTTACTTTCAGAGCCGTAATCCACAGTTGAGCTTTGGTGTTTTTATTGCTGACTTAGCAGTTTGTTGCCTTGGCTGTTGGTTTTTCTTTATGTGTGTGGAAATAACGTGTGGAACAAAGGAGAAGGAAATTGTTTATGGTACTTTCAACATTTAGAGTTTGTGCAGCCAGAATGTCAGGTTAAAAAAAAAATGTACTTCCTTTCCCTTAGGAGAGTGTGAAGGTTCCCAAAACTCTGTTTCTCACTTCCGAGTGAGAAACTGGAGCAGGTGTCTGCTTCCCTTCCATTAGGAGATCTCTGGAACCTTCTGGAAGCTGATTCCCTTATGAAGGGTAGCCTTTCTGAACACTGTGTGGACTTGCTGGTGTGGAGAGGATCTCTTTCCACACCCTCAGTGTGGAATCTGTCAGTGTCTCAGGGCTGCCTGGGCAAAGCAGCACCCACGTCGGCACTCAAGTCCTAGCTGCAGCTTTCAACAAGGCGGTGGACTCCTCCTCTGACTCTGCCCCCTCTGTCTGTGTTGCATAGAACTTCTTACCAGTTTGTGACCTCATCTCAAGTGATCACATCTCCACTCAATAAGGTGCCAGGGGTTGGGACTTGGCATCTTCTGGGAACACAGATCAACCCACGGAACATTTTCTTCTGAAATGGACGTGGCAGTCATGCCAACTCCTCTCTATTTACTGCCCTGAGCTCCCTCTCTCCTGACTTTTAGGAAAGAGGCTGTCTCAGCTTCTGCTGGGGGACAGGATCAGGGGGACAGTGAGCAACAAACATTTGTTCTCACAGTTCTGGAGATAGCAAGTCCAAGGTCAAAATGCCTGCAGATTTGGGTCTGCCAAGGGCTGCTTCCTGTGTCCTCAGTGGGGAGAGAGGAAGCAGGCTCTCCTGGGGCTGCCGTAAGGACACTGATGCCGTTCATGGGTGGCCCTCCTGACCACACACAGTCCTCGCCTCCCTCTCGTGGGGAAGAGGGTCCCACATGTGAACTGGGGAGGCAGATTTTCCCTCCATCTGGAGCTGAGAGCTCATTGCCCTGGGGCATGAAGAGTGGGGCAGTGGGAACCCTGCACACTGGAGATTGTGCCCTCGAGGTGGGCTCTGCTCTTCCCGTTTCCTGTCTGACCTGCGTGGCTGGGGTGGTGCAGGAATGGGGCAGCAGCCTGTTGGTTGTGGTTTCAGATGTGGCACGTGGTCCGCAGCGGGGAAGCAATCGGCACTGAGCCAGAGCCCTGCCTCCTTTCCCTGAAGACTGCCTCAGGAGACTGTCAGGTGATGGTATGGTCATCTTTTGGTGACAGGTTCACAGAAAACCAGAATTTTATTCCCTTGGTGTGTATTTCTGTTGTTGAGAGGTATGATGGATTGAAAAAAGACATTAGGGCCTAACAGAATTTCTAATTCTGGGTAGAAGAAATGGAAATAGAAAAAGGAACAGTGTCATTTCTGTCTACCAAGAAAGAACAAACACTTCTTAAGGGCAGAGATGACAAGTCTTCATGATATTTGAATGCCACTGAGTATATTTAAACAAGTCACAGCTTTTATTTTAAGTCAATATTTAAAATATACCAGAACTATTGGTAAAGATTTAAACTCAAGATGAAAAATTGTAAATGACAATTGAAAGTATTTTTCAAATTCTTTTAAGGAGTGATTTAGGTAGAACATGTGGAGAGCCTGGCTGGCAACAGGTTCTCCCTCTCTCTCTTGTAGACCTGTCCTTACATTTTTCCTTGATAGTGTATATTAAGTGGAGTTATATGCTGTATGTTTAAACATCAGGCTGCCTGAACATTTTTATTGCTTTCAAAATATTCAATAAAGAAATTGCTTTATATTTGCATTATGCTTGTCATGTCACGTGGCCGCTCACAGGAGATCATCTTGCACTGTCATCAGCATTTCCCAATGGGAAGCTTATAGAGAATGTGACCAGGAAGGAAATGGTTCCTGTTTTCAGAGCTCAAGTTGCCAGGAGTGGACACAGAAGGCGAGAGTCGGTGGTCCGTGCCTGCACGTCCAGCCGCCTAGAGACCGTGCACTCAGGGTGAGAGTTCACCGGGAAGGAAGGCGCTTGCTGTCCCTCGGCAGCCTACAGTCAGTCTCAGGAGCAGCAGGAAGGGGCACCAGGAACCCCCACAGGTGTGGAGGTGGGGGTTGATGTATTTTGCAATCAATCAATAAATATATGTTTGAGAGATTGACAATGAGATCATTATGTAAGTCCTGAAACCTAAGTCGCAGTCGTACTCATTTTTTGATTGAAATACGATCATTTTCAAGATAGAAAATGAAACCCCTGAAGCTGGAGTTGTAGCTCAGTGGAAGAGCGCCTGGCTAGCATGCATGAGGCACTGGGTTAGAGTCTCAGCCCCACATATAAATAAATAAAATAAAGGTCCACCAACAACTAAGAAATATTTTTAAAAAAGAAAAGAAAAAAGAAAATGAAACCCCTGTTGTGAGTGGGAAGAAGACATATTTCAGGGAAAGTCCTTAAAAAGGCAAAAACAGACGAAGCTGATTTTCCTGCTTTCTTTCTTCTCTTTCCTCCCACCCTGGTCTCTTTCTGGTCACTTTTTTCCCCCAGTGAAGCTGACAGCACAAAGAACCCACGAAGTTATGAGGTTCTACGTGCACCAAAGCCTGTTGAGTTTGGGAGTGTAGCTTAAGTAAAGGAAGGGGGGCCGGGCAGCAGGCCTCTCTGACCCAGCGGGGTTCTCCATTCCTAGGCAGCCCCTCTGGGGCTGTGCTTGGGACCTCGAAGGCCAGGCCAGAGAAGACTGGAGGTTTCTGGGTTGGTCTAGAAGCAAGTATCCATGCAGAGCTGGGCATGATGAGTGCTCCAAGATCGCCATTGCCTTCAAAACAGAAAGGAGCAAGTGGAAGGAATCTGTGTTTACAACTTTGACCCTTCCGGAAAACAATGTGAACGAGTTGTTGCAAAAATTCAACCTCCAATCCCAATAACATACAAAACCACTAAAATGCCATGTTGTCATTTTTAGATGAGAAAGATCTGGTTTAATGTCCTTGGAGCACTGTGAGAATTCTGGACAATTAGAAGCTGGATAATTAGAAGTTCTAGTAGAAAGAATCTGAGATTCCTATAATAATTTAAACTGCCATTGTTCTGTGGAGGACCTTCTATAACTGAAAACTTCTAGTTCATTATTCTAACATTGTATTGCTAGATTGATTTCTTCACCTTTATGATTACGCTTGTCACGTTTTAAAAGCCAAAAGCTGTTCAGGGAGGGCTCATTTGAGAATTGACAGATGGAAACATTTTAATGTTGGAATAAATTCAGGGTCATGAGGAAAGATTCATAATCTTGGAAGAAAACAGAGACCTAGATCTTAGTGATTTGGGGTTAGGTAAGGGTTCTTAGGTGGTAACACCAAAAGCACAAACTTCAAAAAAAAATATTGAAAATTCAAAATTTAAAAAAACCTCCGTTTCAAAGGACACCCTCAAGTAAGTGAGAAGACAGTACACAGCAGAGTACTGTACAAAATAATTGCAGACTATCTGAGGGACTTGCAGCTTTAATTTATACATTAAAAAACTTAT